ACTTATTTGGCTTGCCTCTGTTGCATGACTAAAAATCTAAGGGAAAAATGCTCGGAGTCCCAGCATCTGTTAATTTCAGCTATTTAAAGTACAAATGAATCAGAGGAAGGATTTTTAAACTGTTTTCTTGGAAGATTTCCTCTTACTGCTTGTGTCTACGTAGAAAATGATTTAAATTCTTTTAAAATTCTAAGTTACGAAGCAGGCACTCGAAAATATTTTTCATCCATTATCAAGCCAATGATTATCATGATTCCCATGATACAGTAATGGGCTCCACTGATGGTGACGTTCAGTGGTGAGCTTGGCAATGCCTGTGAGGGATCGTTCTTCCTGCCAGACAAAACCATGATGGCTGCAGAGTCCCTGTATCGGGTGCTACATCAGAAGCTGAAGTCCCCATTAAAATACATTACCTCTGTAGTTTGGAGGCACCACAGGAAATTTAATTGAAGCAGTCCAAGTGGTGTTATAAGACATAAAATCAGAGATGTTCCTTATTACATACTTAAAAATATTATCTTCATCAACTCCCTAGCAGTTTTTTACAATTTTGCCTTGGTTTGAAAAAACAATGTATTTTAGTAGAAATAGATGAAAAACACCCTGGTAACTGGGACAGCTACAGGGATTTTCAATTACCAATCTACAAGTTCACTGACTTTTCATTTATATCTTTCCTCTAAAGATATGGTGATGGTTGTATTATAAGACGAGGCAGATGCATCTTCTGTTTTGGCTTCTCTTCATGTTCTCAGGAATTTGTTGTTCCTTTGGGTGCTTTTGCTGTTGGCTCTCTGCTGTCTTTTTTTTCAATTGTTCCATACTGTGAGAACAATAATACGTGCCACAGTTGCATTCCCCTTATCCCCAGGGCTAGCCACTGTCTTTCAATAAGTATGTACATGTTGTGAACATTTCCTTTTGTTTTGGATATGAATTCATATATATGAATCTGACACACATGCTCACAAATACAGTGTGGTACATAAAACTGTAACACTGCACTATGACATTATATGGGAATATGAACACATGACAACAACCTTGCCTGTACATTAATAGAAGTTGAAAAAATAGACAAAAGATAGAAACAAGCGTGTTTTAAAAATGAATGCTATTGATCTGCATGTGTTTGGTGAATATTTTGGAACAGAAGTTCTACAGTCAGCCAAAGAAACAAAGGACAAAATCTGGAGGATAAAATAAATTTGAAATTTGCAGTGTTGCCAAACCAATGTGGCCAATACAAAACTGAAAATATTTCGGGCTAAATTCAGGGGTTGTGGGAATGAAACCTTGTTGCAGCCCAATCTTGCCACAATTTACTAATGCACTTCAGAGGATGCTTTTCAATTAGCTAAATATCACAGCTGCAGCTCACGCATCAGGCAGTCGGTGTTAGCTCAGCCGCCATGCTGAGAGGCCAGAGGGCTCTTCTGCAGAAGGGAAAGGAAACCAACACGAGGCTTTAAGGCAAGACAGCTGATTGCCCTTTTTATTTGCTACCATCCTTCCTTCTTTCTGGACATGCAAATAACACCAATTTACATTAAAAATGTATGCAGATGATTTTGACTTCTGTTTATGCCACCATTAAATGTGACCCTTTTGTGATTTACAGTTGCAGTTTTATTCTGGAATTAATGTGGCTGCTTGCAATTATTTATCTTTTTAATTAAAAAAAAAAAAAAAAAAAGACAACTAGGCAGGACAGGCTTCCTGCACTTTTGTCTTGCTGTACAAATGTTTCTACATGGGTTTTGAAGTAAACATCTCACTACGGTGAGTGGGACTGGAAGACAGTGCAGAGCATGTAATTGCACAGTTTGTTATGCTGTTGGAAGACAGGAAGAGGGCAAGGCCTCGGAAAAAAAATTACAGCTTTCTACCTGACTTGCAGAAGAAATCTGTAGAAACACCAAGCTACAGGATATAGCTCTTTTTCTGTAGGATTACTGTTAGCCTGACTTTACTTCTTTTGTAGACACTCAGTACCTATTTTTATTTTACTGTATTTACAGTGTGCAGTTATGATTGTCTTTAAAAAGCTGTGGGGTGTGAAATAGAAATATATATATTTTACATTAAAGAGTTCAGAATTGCTTTTTCTGAGGAATGTCAGGGATGCCAGAGGATGTCAACGTCAGTGAAGCTGCTATGCTAAGAAATCTCTTTTCATTCATTTTCTCTGCCTGTGTGTTTGAAATCTTGATAAAGGTTGAAAGTTTAGAGATGACTGATACAATTATGAATGCAGTGTCTGTTTAGTTAATTGGCAGCACTTTGAATAAAGGTACCATTTATAAATTATTCATAAATACGTATTTAGTGATTAATAGGTGGAGTCTGTTTCTTCAGCTCACTGAAAAGCATATTCAAACTGTTTTAGTAAATTCATAACAGATGCTGCTTTAACAAATTGTTATAAAACACATTATAATGTGTAGATATAACTAAAGCAATATACATCATTTCACTGTTATTCAGTGTCATTGTTTTCTTATATCATTTCTCACATCAGTGTCACGCTGAATAAAGTAGGTGTTTTTTTTTTCTTTTCTTATGAATAGTACGGGGAATGAATCCATATTCCTTTTGAGAAATGCCAGCTCCATTAAAATCAGCAGTGAAACTTCAATTATCATCACTGCATTCAATAGCAAGATTCAAATTTCATTGTTGTCCATTGGAATGAGAACCTCAATCCCCTTTCTTATTGTTCCTCCATCAAAGGGGCTGATGGTGGACAAGATTTTCTGCTATTGTCTATGTCTGTCCTTTGTCTTACAGTCACTCAGGTGTTTTCTCTTGAGGGGTTTGAGTCCCACAGATCCACGCACTGTGCTTCCACAGTATCCCACTGAGTTATTCAAAGGGTAGATGAGCACACGTATGGATAAGAGCAAATCTGAGGTCTTGGTGAGAAGCATCACTACTGTGGCTATCATCTGTCTGAATGCACTGAGAATCCAGAAGCCAGTGTTTGCTAACTGGAATTATTTTCATGAGAATCTTCAGTTATCAAGAGTACCGAATAACCTGCTACGCTCTGAGAATATGACAATGTTGTGGTTCAAATAGTTATTTCATGTCCATAGGATGGTCTATTGTATTTGATTTTCTAGAGAGTTCCACAGGTTATTGACATACTTATAGAATTTAGGGAAACTGAATGTCAGTATTCACAGAAGCAACAATCTCGGTGATCAGGACATTATACAATGTGATGCAAAATTCCAGCTGCCTGCAGAAAAATGAATGTGGGGAAAAGATTACGACTCACCTTCATACCAAAAGCACGGGGCTCTTGATGTGGTCTGGGGATGGTTGCTCTTCTGAGGATGCAGGATCACTAACGTATAGCCCTGCTGCTGGCACTGCCGCAATTGCTGTGAACAAAGTCACGTTCTCAGTGTTCAATCAAAAAGGCTTTTTACCCAAGAACACTCTTCCAGAACATCCTCTGTGAGAAGTACTGTACGTTGAGTGATATTTTCCCAGAATTTCTCTTCTTAGAATTCAAAGGCATTGCAGACTTGCTAAACCTGTCATTAGAAGCAAACTCCTTGAGTTACAAACACCTATCAGAAGGCAGCTCATGCTGGAGCAACAAGTGTAAAATTTGCAAGAATATTTCCATAACCACTTCTAATAAATAGTTCTTACAACACAACCATCAAAATTCATGGGTTCTCTCTTGCTCTCTCTGTCTATCTCAGACTGCATCATATTTCATCCAGTGCAACCAGATGTCCTCAGGGAAACTGAGAATGAAAATAAACAACCCCTGTGCATTAAAATGTATTCGCCCAGCCAATTGCTGAGAAAAAAAGAAAAAAAACTGAAACGATATTTCTCCCAGGACAACCACTCCGTTTCCATTTTCCCTTACAAATCCTTAGGGAAGATGTACAAAATACCTTCTGGCACCTATGCTAGGAGAATAATTCACACCTATTGGATATTAAAACAAAGAAATCAACAGTGCTTCTATTACACATTATAATTCTGCTTTCTTTAATTTCTTGTATTCCAGATGCAACAATTTCCTGACTGTTTGTTGTGCCATTCATGGAAGTCCAGATCATCTTGATTTAGGCCCTTCAGTGAATACCTGACAACTCTTCTCAAGAGATGACTTAGTTGAATATGAACAATTTTTCTCAGCCATGTTTAGTTTGAAAGGAACTTCTCCTATACCAATACTAAAGATCTTCTTTTTTCTTTCTTTTTTTTTCTCCTAATCATATTCCTTGTTCTAATAAAACTTTCCTTGCAGATCTTTTTTGACTACTGTCCCCACAGAATCCCAACAACAGCAGCAATAATGTTACGTCCAGAGAAAGAGAACAGTGACCCTTTTTCATTTTTATGGCACCTTGCATATATAGTGCAGTGTCCCAGTACAAACGCAGACATTTCTCTTTGTCTAGATCTCACATCTGAAAAGTGCTAGTTTTGTTTTTATGAGTGCCTTGATATGGCATATGGTCAAATGCAAGTCATTTTCAACTGTTAGTGAAAAATCTGTATTTGGTTTAGAAACAGGAAGAGAGTGCCCAACAAATGGCTGAAGCTGTATGTTTGGGTAGTATAGCAATGCTCTTCTCCAAGTGCTGCAGTGACTATCTAAAAACCTTAGGTTATCTGTGCTATGACTCAGCATCTGTATTTCAGAATATTTAATTTCCAGCCTCCATGAGGTTTTATTTTTCAGTGATTTCCAGCGCTCTGTTTACAAGTAAAAAAGATATATTTTTTTCCCATCTAAAGTTAATAAGAGATTTGAAGCAAACTGTGTTCTCTTCTTCTCTTACATCATCACCAGAAATAAACTTCTTAATACCTAAACATCACTGTAACTTCCACCTGCACATCGCTGTTACCTTCTGCCTGTGCTGTCAGGTGCTCATCGATGCAGGTGTAGCTGCTTAGGAGTTAGTGCACAAACACATTCACTTACACCTGGCAGCCTGGTTTGCACCTACCTGTTCCTGGCAGTATTAAGTGGTGCTGGGAGCAGGGCATTGTGTAACTCTCCAGAGTTTGGCTGGTGGTGGGTGGTTGAGAGCATCCTGCTTCTGGACAGGCTGGTAGGTGTGTGGAGGGCTTGGGAAGCACTGGGCAGATTGACTTGGAATAATGTGTAATGGGGATAGGGATTATGTTGAAAAGAGAGAAGGAAAAGGAGAAATTAATGTTCATAAATGTTTAGGGATGCCTGTGCTATAGTACTCTAAAATACAAGGATGTTAGGGGGCCCTGAGCTCTTTATTGCTTCTGAGCCCATCTGTGCAAAATGGGACTCCACCTCCACTTTATTTAATGCTGCCCAGACTGCATCTGCTGGAAATACTCAGCTTTGTCTAATCAGAGAACAGAAAAATTATTGTGGTAATACAGAAGACTAAGAATTTCATTGTTGATGGGTGCAAAGGTTTTCTGAGTGCCTCACAATAAGGGCTCAAGAATAATTAAATTTGGGTTATTTGTTAATCATCCATTTTAATTAGGAACTTTTGCTTGTTCTGTCCTCTGCCTGCCTGCAACTCCCAAATGAATAATTGCCACGTATCTCTAGAAGGATATCATAGCAACCAGAACGCAGTGAAGGCAATAAATGAGAGAGTCTATAGTCCAGCAGTTTATTTTAACAAACATTCATTAATGAAACTGCAGTTTGATCGCAGAGCCTGAATTCATTGCTTGTATTTGAATTTCCCTCCAGCCACTATTGCAAGTCTTTATTAAGTGACTCCTGATGAGTAGATGACTTTAACCTCTTTTCAGTTTCAACTCCTCACTGCATTATTGTAGACCGTACATTAAACAAGGCCTGCACTGACAGGAGTAAACTTAAGCAGTGTAATTTTATTTTGTGATGTCATGGTGATGCTTATAGTTACCAGATACTCTCATGCATTAGCTGAGTTTGACATAATCTAATCTGAAGTGTTAATTTTTCCCTTGTATGGAGCCACAAATGATTTCTAGAAAACTGTAAAATACCCTGGCAACAAAGAAGTAATGAAAGTCTTTTTCCAGCAGTGAAAGGTACAATTTTTTAATCTCCACTATTCTCTTACCTGCATCCTTTCTCAGAGGAATTGTATCTTTTGATTCATATGCTTCATGGAGCGACAAGCTTGCAGAAATAGTCAGCTAGGTCTGTATTATTTGTGTTAGTTGATCAAACTTCAGAGTAACCTGCCACTTTGAGGTGGTTCTTCTAATTCTTTCACCAGACCAACTGCCAACGAGATATTTTTTATCCCAGTACAAGGTGACTGATAAAAGTGCGCTCTATGTGGAACTGATAAGAAATGAATAATCTCCCAGACAAAATATACGGTCTTTGCAAGAGACAGGATAATCACTTCTGTGAAGCAGTAATACTGGGGAATGCAATCGATTGGGAACAAACTTGTGAACCAGCAGTTAGTAGTATAAGAGCTCTTCTACCTTGAACCTACAGGAAGCTGTTAAGAGATGAAGAACGGGATTAGAAAAATATAGGTCTTGACTAGTCTCTTTAGGAGTGTTTCTCAGAAATGTATCTTGCATGCAGCTTTGGAGAATTACTCATAAATTATGTTCAGAGTGAAGAAAAGGGTTAGCTGCCAAGTAGGTGTCAAGTATGTTCGGTGAAATGCTTTAAGCTATGCTCCCAGTATTATAAAGGATCTCCTGTGTTTACGTGTAAGAACACTGTAAAAGCATGACGCCAGAGCCCAGGTGGGACAAGTGTGGAATTGTACCCGGGCAGTGAGGGAGAAGCTTTAGGAAACTTGCCCACCACTCTGCTAAGGAAAAAAGCTGGTAGTATTAGCTTTTTTGGAGCAACCAGCTAGAGCTGGGGTGTAGTGGCTGTTGGTTGTCTTCTGCTGTGGTACTCAACCACCTGACTAGAACACTAGGGCTAGGTGATACTGTTCTGCAAGGTACTGTTCAGCAATGCTTAGGAAAGTCTTTCTTTTGAAGAGGTTTTTTTGGAGGAAGAAAGAGAAGGTACTGATTTTTGCAGTGGTTGGTGTGAGGTGTTCTATTTCATCACTTCCTGGTTTGCAAAGAAATGTCACTGGATCCTTTCCAGCTAGATTTGTTGTTCCTTCTTGCTCCTACCTGCTCTCATCTTTGTTTGAAGAGCTGCACATTGTTTGCTTTCACCTTTTGCTTCTCCACTCAAAAACTCTTGTTTCTTGTACTCTTAGACAGATAGGCTTTTATTCTCTTCATTGCCTCTTTGTGTTTAGTTCTACCCTTATTTTCCTCATTTCTTCCTTACCTGTGATTTTTGCCAGCCTTATTTTTATACTCCTATTTTTTATTCTCTCTTCTTGCCCTTAGTTGGTACAACTACCATCTGACTTTTCTTTTGTGTGATGTGATTTTTTTCCTCAATTCTGATGTTCTGCAGTGTGTGAAATGCACTGAACTGTAGAGTTGCCAAGAAGCATCACACAATGAGAAGAGATAAAAGTATTGAACTATGAGAGTGTACTTATGCTCTGTGTGCTGCCACACAGACAGGACAGGCTCCCTGCAGTACACCTGTATTTATGCTGTACAAATTTTAAGACTAATTATGACATATGCTGCTCATTCACTTTTGCTTCCTTGAGCTTAAGATCTAATTCCACCGGGGAGAGATGCCCTTTCTGTGAATAACCTCGTGCTATGTGTGTAGCCTTTTCCTTTCTGAACATCTTTATCGTCTGTAGGGCAGCTCCTGAAAAGTGAAGTAATGAACTTGAACAATATAACATACCAGCTTTGTGAGCGAATCCAATAACACAAAAGCTTCTACTAGTTCTTGTGTTCTAGAACTTGGCTTTAGTCAAATACACATCTTAGAAAAAATACACTTGCAGATATTTATCCTCATCAGAGACTGCCTCTGTTTGAGCACCATTTACATAAATACATCCAAAATGTTTTTTTAAATTTTCATACAGGCTATGTCCATCCCTATTACATTGCTGTGATTACACTTCACTGCTTGCTTTCTGATCAATTGAGAAGCAGCACTACTCTGCAGTCAAAGCATTGGTGTTATTCTGAAAATGTCAGTAACTTCTATTTACTGGAAAATGTGCAGGGTGTTCTGCAGTCAGAACACTTTTGTGCGATTTAAAGAAAAATAGTAGTACTGCATATGTTGCATACAGTTTTATTGCATTTGGATTGCCTTAAAGGCACAAGAAAAGTTTTTAAAAGGATAGTGATTAATGTACAATAAAGAAGGACGGGAAATAAGATTTATTGCATGGTTCAATTATTCCTCTTAGCTTCTTTCTATAAGAAAGCAGTTCCTAAATGCGTGAAGGAACCTAGTAGTGTTTTTTTTTTTTTTTTAATGTATGAACAAACAGGCATTTTTAAAATAGATATTTTCTATAAAATGATTGGGAATATGCACTTACAAATAACTCCCATTTACTTGGGAGAAAAGCAGCTCATTTATAATGGCTTATTGTTGCAGGAGTTGAACTCGGGCAAGTCAGTCTCCCAGTTGTCCCTGAAGAGTGCAGCAGAAAATACTTGGTTTAGACACAACCAATACTTAACCACAGTTGATCACCTAGCCATTTTTCCCTTCCTTCCTTCCATCCCCTTCTGATGTGCAGTGCCTAAGGGCTAGTTCTCTTCAACAGAATTGAAGGCATGAGTTAAGATTTCTTGTGGCTGATATTGAGGCAATGCAATACTTGTACTGCACAGTGATTTATGCCATACTGTTTCCAAATGTTAAATCACAGCCGTTGCGTCTTTTCTTCGCTGTTCAGGTTCTCCTTTGGATCTTACAGATGCTTTGTGATTATCTATTGTTTAAAGGAACAGGGCTTGTGAGTGGATTAAAAACTCACTGTTATCTACAAACGAAGCATACTCCTACAAGGTAACTTTCTTAATATAAAGGTTCATCAGCAAGCATGCCATCACTCTGGTCCTTCTTGGTTTCCATTTGTGTGTTCATCATGGATACGGGCGGTCAAACAGGTGTTCTTGTTTCCAGAAGAAAATGTGCTCTATTCTGGCTTAATAGCTCCTGTCTTGTTTATGAAAGTCTGCAGGGAAAGAGGAATTTACATTAATAGGTAAAGTAGCTATATCAGACCTTAGGGTATGAACTCCACAAACAACAATAATCATTTCAGCTGGCTAAAGTGTCTGAAGAAGCTGAAACTTGTCTACCAGGTTCTGAAATAACAGAATGCTAATGTGCAAGGAGCTTCCTACAAGTTTTTCTTTGGAAGTACATACCCTGGGACCGTATCTATTCTTTAGACTGTATTAGCTTGGAACATAAGCTGGGTAGGTGTTAAGGGGGGAAAAAAAACAACAACCACAACAACAGACTGTATTACAAAGCAAGACGTACACTGTTTGAATGCATCAATAATTCCCTTTTTCGTCTGTTTTTTACAGGAGAGCTGAAAAGGATGCAAATCTATTCTACAATTTAAACTTGAACTGTTTATGACAGATGTATATTAATATAAAATTCTTTTCTTAATGCACACATGGGCGAAGCAGATTGCACAGAAATAACTGGGCTAATTAAAATTGAGCGAATGTTTTAATTTCTGTTAAATACAACAGCATATTTTCTACCTGCATCAGCTCTATGCCTTATTCTTTTTGAGATATTGGAAAGCAAGTAAAATAGTTGACTGCATTACATCAAAAGAACTGATTTTTTGTTTCCCAGCCCTTTAATGTATTTTTCTGTTAGAATGCATCCTGTTCAATCAAAATGGTCTTGTTCTAACTATTGCTTTGTGTCTTTCTACATAGAAATTCAGTTTCTTATATGCACATGCATGATAATAATTTGAGGTTAATGACAACCCTGAGAAACAATTTTAATTTCTAATGCTTAGAAATGAACAAGTTGGTTTGAATAATGAATCATTACCTGTCAACTTCAGACTTTTACGCAGAATGTAAATACTTTGCTTTCTTCGTGTTCTTCCTTGGGATCAAGTGGACTAGGCATTCAGTCTTGTGAAGTGTAAGCTTCTCTTTCACAAACTGCAGTATAAATGAAAACAAATTCTCCTCTTAGTGTCTTTTTGTCTTGCTACTTGTAGCATCTAGTACTGAATTAATATCATGCTCACAACATCTATTGATTTCCAGGAATAATGTATCAGATATCCAGTTATATGAGCTATCATCTGTCTTCTTATGAATTGATTCTATTTGCTCATCTTTCCAATTTGTCCAGTGTCTTTATTTGCATTAATACTGCCCCTGCAGCCTGCCATATTTTGTCTTACTCCATAATAGCAACGTAATTCATAGTTTTTTCAATATTTATTGCTAATAATAATTACCTGGGTCCTGTTCTGCATGTGGGAGGTTTCCAGCTCGTTAGTGACTTTTCAGGGACTGTGAATCATATTGTTAGTGTTTAATATATATGGGCAAAATGGAATTATATTAACATGAACTTCCTTCTTATGAGAAACAAGATCTTTTTGATTAACTACTGTAGCAGGGATGTAAATTCAGTTTAAAGAGTTTGTTTAGCTTGCTTGGGTTGAATGCTTGCCTGTTAGATAACAGTTTGATATTTTCTTCTCCAGAGCTGTGACTTCCTTTGCTGTTACTCCTCTTTTTCCTCTTTCTCTTCCTTACTTCTTACTGTACTCTTCCCTTCTAAAAGATACTGTAAGCTTTCCTGCTGTGTTGATGTTCATGTCAGAACATCCATGGCTTGTTTCTAACTTGCCATCAAATTTTGCAATACTTGACTTGTCCTTGATCACTATACTGGTTTACATCTAATGCCCATGGCTTCAGGGAAGGGCTCGAGTATTTAAGGAAGTTGTGGTGTTTGGTGGTGGTTTTTTTTTTTTTTCCATTTCTGTGGGATCCCTTGAGCTTACACACAGAAAGGATGCTTACTGAGCCTTCAATAAAGTTTCATAGTCTTTAGTTTTACGTGGCTTTCTTCAGACTTTCAGCACCACTGTTAATAGAACGGTTTTGTATTAAGCAGGGAGATGTGTCTTGCTGATCCTCAGGAAATGGAAAAAGACAAACCAAACTGAGATATATTCTATCGCTGTCAAAAAAGAAACTGAATAGAAATTCCAAGTTGCCATCATAGCTCAGCGTTTCTGTTCAGATGAGAGAGTTTTGTATATTGAACATCCACCTGAAATGTTTCAGTATGAATGCTACCACGTAATGGTAGCGCATGGATGAAGAAGCAGAAACAAGAAGTGTCAGTGAAGGCTGAAATCATGCAGATCCTTGTCTGCACAAACAGGGACTGCTCCTCTAGGGGCTGGGGATTGGGACTTTGGAGGGAACTAAACAGTCCAAATCATAGGGTTTGGGATGTTTTATATGCCTTTTATGAACTTAATTTCCATTTTAATACCGATGCTACATATATATGAAAAATTATCCACTCCCAACTTCTCTGTGGGACAGTTACCATCTCTAGGAACGCTTTCACAAAGAAACCTTATGAAAGATTTTTCTCATTTTCTATTCTACTGTGCAATGCATCAAATCTCAGAAGATATTGTGTGTCTGTGGGAGAATGCCATGTGCCTTGCATGATTTTACCAGTCTTATTACTTGGTAGCCTTCTTAAAGCAATAACAACCTCAAAGCTCTTTTGGTTGTTCTGTGTTCTGTTATGTGGTGCTTTTCCGTATCCTTTGGTAGTTAAATGAAAAACTTTGAGAGTCTTGAAGGAGCGCTGCTGTTGCAGCACAAACCTGACGAGGAGAGATTAAATTAAGGATTTACCTGGTCCTCTGATTCAAGAAGTTACTGAAAAGAAAAATGTATAATGATACCTTTATTTTTTTTTCTGTTCTTAATTCATTATTTAGTGCAGGTTTGTAAAACTGTGTTTTTACAAATGAAAGAAAATGAGTAAGAATTCAAGTATCACAGTTTATATCAATAACCCTATTTTTCAGTTAATTCTAACTATAAATTAACTCTCGCAACAGTCAAGGTGAGAATCTGAAAAGCTAGAAGCAACTACCTGTCAATCTTGTTTCTCTATCATCCTCAACAGTGTATCCACAGAACCAAAAATCCAGGACTTATTTTTCCTTTATGGCTGTTTTTGATCCACTTCTAGTGGACATCGCAGAAGTATATGGACTTGCACATACTAGAGCTTAGGCACTCAGTTCTCTCTGTGGATTTCATGCATTTATCTGTATTTGGGAGACAGACTAGAAGGTATTAAGCTGTGAGATGAATAATCTGCTTAAATGATAAAGTACTGGTAAGCGGTACTGAAAGCAATGAATGTGTTTCTTTGATGGTCATTTCCTATGTGTCCTGAATAATACTGGTAAGGACTGCAGTCTGGCATTCCAGGCACAGAAGAATTTTCTTCTGTTTTGTAGGGCAATTTTGTCTCATATGATGTGACAACAGTCGTGTTCAACTGAATGATTATTTCATGTTGACAGCTTAACTAGCTATGAAAGAAGATAGTATTGACTGTAGCTTAGGTCATTATTCTAGGTTTCTGTGGGGGTTGCTGCCTGAGGTTTAGTTTTAATTTTTAAAGCTTAATTTATGGTAAAAATATTCATCCTAAAATAGCTCTTACACAAAGACCTATTAATGGTGGGGGGGAAAAAATTGGGGGTTGGCTTAAGTAATGGAAGAATTACTGTCCTAGCAAAGTACTCCATTTACAGAAACTTCAGAGGAAAAAAACAGTGGTGGTGAATTAAAAGAAAAAGATTAAATTTATCAGTCTTTCCGGACAAAGGAGGTGGGTCAAGATGTAACAGCAAATTAGGGACCATATTATCTGCTGAGACATTAGTGAAGTCCCTTGTAGCTTAATTGAGCTTCACTGGATTCAGCTGAAAGTTTGGCCATACTTGTTTTTTTTTTCCTCCCAATCTGTTGTAAACTAGGTAAAAAATCCACTAAGGTCACTGGTGTTACAAGTGATATCTGAGTAATGATCTAGCAGTACATATGTAAGAGGCAGTGAAGTTACAGGTGGCCCAGAGCACAGCAATGACCTGCCTGGGGACCATTCGTTAAAGAACTGGATGCATTAGACAATACAAACTCAAGTAACTAGAAGGTTTCTTTCCAGTTTGTTGGATAAAAATGTGCAACTTTGAAACTTACGCAGAATATCAAATATACAGGTTGTTATATGGTTTCTTGATCTCATATAAGTATTAAATACTAAACAGTAGCATTGCCACTAGGGATGTTAACAAGCATAGCAGTTTTATGCAGCAGAATAATATTCCTTGTTTCTCAGACCTCCTTTGCTACATTTTTGTATGACTAAGTCTGCAGTTGTGTGCCCTTAAGTATGTTTCAATGATTTGAACAGTGATGAAGGTGCTATTGTAAGGAATATGTGGGAGTATTCATCCACAGGAACATTTAAAAATACATATAAACACACCATCTGGTGCAATGAGGTGTATTTCAAAGACAAAATATTTGCTCTTTAGAAGTATCTCAGAGTTGAGGATAATTTCTTTTCCTTGGTAAAAGCAGTTCAGCAGTTTTTAGAAATAAGCTCTTCGTTTCAAGAAGGTAAAGGAACCCAGGTGGGATATGGATATTTTATAGTTCATTTTTGGAACCTTTTTTTATTAATAAGCAAATCTCTTAAATCATTCTTACCTATTCAAGAACTTGAAAAATAACATCATTAATTTCATACAAATGTAAAAACAGTTGGCTGTGCCTTCCTGAAATTTGTTATACAACTACAGAAGCTATGCTAGCTTATATAGGAAAGTTGAGTTGATTATGGTTATGCCCTTTTTAGAGCTTTCTAATGTAGAAGGCTCTGGTCAGGATAGTGTCCGTTCATTGTTTCCGCATATACTACCCATGTATTTTTATTCCAGATTACTAGACAATTTGGATTCCCGTATGTAAGTGCTTTTCCTATTCAGAGTTCTGCAAAACATTGTGTATTAAGCTATATGACTACATTTTTCCTAAATTACTGGTAAGAGTTAAGCGAAAAATTTTCTGGAACAATTAAGAATTCTGTTTACTTCAGTAGATGCATCTTTTTAGGCAGCGTGCTGTTGGTTACATAGCAGTCAGGCTGTGATCATTTGGACTTTCTCTGAAGATGTTTTAGGAATGTCAGCATAAGATAACTAGCATATGTCCTCCAGATTGATGTCATCTTGGATAATGTATCTTTCTTCTCTTTATCATACATGTTAAATTCTGCTCTTTGATCTAATGTGGTGCTCTGCAGCAAACATTAATGATTGCCGCTGTCAGGTAGAACTTTAATGCATTCCAGAGCCTGGATGTCTGATGTGCAAATAATTTGATGCAATAGCGCTTTCTCTCCCCAGCCCTTGCTAGGCAGGCTGCTGTTCTTGATTGTGTGTATTTAGAGACTTTCAGCCCTGCAGTCATATGGATCCTCCCACCTGATTTTGATTAATCTGAATTGTTTAATATCTCCTCAGACAAACTTTTAAACATTTTTCTTATTTTTGTGTGGGCTTCTGGCACTGTGCTAAAAACAACTGATCACTTTGTATTTACATCTCTGATAAATGGATTCATTGCAGAGTAATATCCACAGCATGAGGTCGGTATGTGACTATCAGTGTCTCATTTAACCTCTTAATGTCCTTATGATCTATGTAAGGACTGTTACTCTCCAAACTAGTACAACTAGTCAGTCATCTGGGGGATTATGTCCTCCTGGGAGATGGGTTTTCTGCAGGTAAAACATCTCTGGTTGCTATAAGGGGTTTTAAAACTTCACAGTGCTCCCTGATTCTGGCACTGTGCAGGGACTCAGTGTTGCTGGAGACTTTCTGCCCCACCAGGCCACAGAATGGTGGCTCCAGCCCTGTCTGTGCTGGATGTGGGCTGTGCTGGTGGTGGGGCTGTCCTCAGCCCCTCCCCTCCTAGCAGAACTCCTGATTCTCATTCTCCAGCAATTCTTGATTGCCTACAGTGTGACAGCTTTGTGCAGGATAAACAACTGTTCCAATTTTTTCCTACTTAGATTATATTTTCTCAATACAACTTATTTCAGAAGCATCCTGAGTGTTTACAGAGCTCTCTACGTCACTATGCAAAAGTTCTGCATGTTCTATCTAGAACAAAACCGTGTTTGGTTCAGCTGGGTGCAGGGTTGGTCCCACACATGGAACTGTGGTGTCTTCTCTGTTGATTATAGATCTTTGAAAAGGAATTACTGCTTCAGCCAGACATCAATCTCTCATCAGGTTTCATTATCTCCCTTATTTACACTGCTACTTGGATTATAAAGAACCGTTAAATAGTGTGAATTAGCAGTTTGTCAAATTTAAGTCTTCACGGCCCAATAATTTTCAGAGTGAGCAGACTTCTGCTTAGTCTTTCCCAATCAAGACGTTTTAATTACTTCTTGTAAACAACGGCAGAAAGAGGGTTGGGGGGTGGA